ATTATAAGATTCGCATTGCATTCCCATAGTTTTTCATAATTTATCGGGCTACGATGCACATTTTATTATAACAGAAATAGCAACAGCGTACGAAGGACATGTAGACTTACTCCCAATCACAAAAGAAAAATATATTTCGTTTACGAAAAACGTTCAAAGCACCAAAGATAAAGATAAGAAAACTTGCGTCAAATTGCGATTTATCGATTCGTACAAGTTTCTCACCGCTAGTCTCGATAAATTGGCATCTTATCTCAGCAAGAATAAACTGCGAATATTGCAACGCGAATTTTGTAAATTATCCGCAGAAAATTTTAATTTTCTGACACGAAAAGACGTATTTCCGTACGAGTACATTGACTGCGTCGAAAAGTTGGAGGAGTTGTGTTTACCACCGCGCGACTCGTTTTACAGTTCATTGACAGGTGACACCGTATCCGAGAGCGATTACGCGCACGCCGTCAACGTCTGGCAGCGGTTCTCCATTTGAACGCTCGGTGATTACAGCGATTTATATCTCAACTCAAAACCGATGTCTTGCTGTTGGCCGATATCTTTGAAAATTTTCGCGATAGCTGCGTCGCGAGTTATGGACTCGATCCGGCGTATTATTATACTCTACCGGGTTTTACGTGGGATGCTATGTTGAAGCATACGCGTATCAATTTTGAATTGCTCACCGACATTGACATGGTCATGTTTATCGAACGCGGTATACGCGGCGGTTTGAGTCAATGTTCAAACAGATATGCGCTGGCCAACAACAAGCACATGCAGTCGTACGATCCATCGAAACCGTCGTCGTACCTGATGTATTTCGACGTAAACAACCTGTACGGCTGGGCAATGAGTCAACCATTGTCATACGCCGATTTTCAATGGGTCGACGACGTAACCGATTTTAATGTTATGGATGTCGCTTTGGATTCCTCGATAGGATACATTCTCAAAGTCGACTTGGATTATTCGCAACATCTTCACGACGCGCACACTGCCCTACCGTTCTGTCCGACGCACGATAAACCACCCGGTAAGCGGCAGGACAAGCTCCTCGCAACATTATACGATAAGAAACGTTATGTCATACATTATCGCAACCTGCAGCAGTGTACTCGTCACGGTCTCCGTATATCAAAGATTCACCACATATTGAAATTTGCGCAATCTCCATAGCTTCGCGATTATATAGACCTCAATACGAAATTTAGAACATTGGCCAAGAATAATTTTGAGAAAAATTTATACAAATTGATGAACAATCCAGTGTTTGGCAAAACCATGGAGAATGTGCGCAATAATCACGTTGACGTGCGACTTGTGACTCATTGGGAGGGTAGATACGGCGCGGAGGCAATAATCGCGAAACCAAATTTTCATAGCCGAAGCGTCTTTTCGGAGAATTTAGTAGCAATAGAAATGCAAAAACTCGAGGTGAAGTTCGACAAACCAATCTACGTAGGTATGTGCATCCTCGATATATCAGAGAGAAACCTGAGAACGGCCATCCCGCTTCAGGGGACGCCTGTCCTAATCTGCTCTCTGAGAAAGTGGACGTCAACTACGGCGTTACGCTCGGTAACAATCAGAGAGATCTCGGGTAACAATACATGGGTTCGTATCCGTGCTATAGTTCGTGTCCGAACTACTCAGATGGAGGGGATGTGCTGGTCGCGCAAGCCCCTCCTCTGTCAGTGTATGCTCGGATTGCTCGGCACTCGGCAAGCTTCGCGCGGGGAGAGAAGGGCAGACATACGATCTGCTGTTTCCTTCTCTCTTGAGCTGTAGAGGCCACGCATTTCGGATATCGCCTCTCATGTCTCGCCGAGTGCCGAGTCTCGAGTTGGCAAATCGACGATGCGCTATGTTACATTTAAGGTAAACATCCCAGTGGCCGGACGGTTAAGCATGATTTGTCATAAATAATACGATTTGTAATATTTAGAAAGATGTTTAATATAAATATTTGTATTCATTCGAAAACTTAAGATTCCCTTAAGCAGGAAAAAATTATTTTAACTCACATATATCAATTAATAATTTAATATTTACATAAATAATGGAGCGTGTCAATGTACCAGTGGCCGGACAGCTGAAATAGGTTGTGGCTTAGTGTCCGGACATACTTGTCCCAGTGGCCGGACAGCTGAAATAGGTTATATAAATTGATAAATTATCGGTGAGTAGTTTTAAAAAGTCTCACATGCAATTAAATGCCTTTAGAAACATGTAATTATTACACTTACCGCAAAAATCTATCGATTCCAACAAGCGACACTGCATGACATAACCTCTCATTTTTTAACAAATTGCGTTCGCACATCCGGCGATTGGGAATTCTGATATTTTTAATGTACCAGTATCCGGACACTCAAAATTATCGTTTTAATTGTGATTTTTAAGATGAATTTCGTCAAAACGAGCTTCTAACTAATCATTAAAATTAGATAATTGATTATTTATTTACAAATATAATTAGATATCCAATTTTTATATTATTAGCTACATGCTTGCGCTTAACGAATCTGTTAACGATTGGCCATCATTTTCACAAACAACAGACACATGCTCGTTTAATCAATTTTTTTAAATACAAAAATGTTTAATTAGGTTTACTTCTTTTTCCCAATTAATTGTTAAATATTAAAGTTTTTTTTACAATAATTATTATTTTCATTTTTAATTGTTTAAATAAATAGTAATATTTTTCTCCAATTTGTCCGGCCACTGGGACGTGTCCGGCCACTGGGATGTTTACTTTATGTTTATATTTACGAGTTTTAATTGTTATATTTATAAATATTGCAATTATATTTATAAAAAAATTGCAAATTAATAAATGAATTTTATTAAACATAAAATCGCGTATGATCATGTACTTCCGTAGTTTTTGTACCGTTAAAATTAAACATAAAATTAATTAATTAAATAAATATTTATAAACATAAAAACTAAAATTCGTAAATGTAATGTATAGAAATTCCTGTTCTGGCCAATATGGTTTTTTATCTAGAAAAAAAGTCATATTAAAAACATTAACTTTGACAAAATATTTAAATTTAATATTTAAATGCATAATAATAGTAAAATATTAACTATCAAGAAAAAAAAGGTAGTTTATAGTGTTCTTTTTACTCTTATTAAATTTGCCAAATCACGAGCACCAAAAGAGGGATATTGGATTAAAATAAAAACAATTTATTATACAAATAATGCACACGGTTAATGTTTCGACTATAGTTAGTCTTCTTCGGAACGGATTATTACGAAAGAAGAAGATAAATATCAAGAAACATGATAATTAATGTTCATTTAACATACTAAAACATTAAACATTAGTCAGACTAAAACATTAAACAATCACCTAACAAAATAAACAATAATCTAATTGAATCACAAATATAAAAACGCCGGAATAATCGAATAAAACCATGGCAAGATAAATTTATATTTATATTGAGAAGTGGTAAAATCTCTTCCGTCAGGAAGAAAATGTAAAAAATTATTAACGGGGGTATTTTGATTTAAAAGATCATTAAAATATATATTTTGCAGGAATTTTTTATAAGGAAACGAAGAAAGTGAATAATGTTAAACTTTGCATGTTCACTTCACCTTATTTTAAAATTTTATTTTTATTTTTTAAGTAACAAAAATGCTTTTCCTTTCTATTATATTATAGGTATTCTGGTCACTAGAAGGTATAAATGACAGACGGTGTAAATAATTCTAGCTGTTCTATAGGTATCTGAAACGCAAAAAGCTAAAATTTTCTTATTCAGAAGAAGTATATGTGGTTATCGTCTGAACTAAAACTAAACCAATATTTCTATTCTAGGCAGCCTTTTTATCAAAAATATTATTAATCAATATTAAATAAACAATTTACGGTCTGAGCTTGAATTTTATAGTAGCCTAATAATATTTTTTATATACTATATTTACATATTTTTTTCAACCTTAATAAACTACGCGCCGACTAACTTGTCAGACTTATAACACAGCTCCTATTGGAGTAGTAAAATCCCCTCACTCCCCTCTAATTAAATCGATTTAAATAATGTTGGAGTAGTAAAGAATTTACTACTCCAACAGGAGCTGTGTTGTAAGTTTGACAAGTTATGTCGGCGCACAGTTTATTAAGGTTGGAAAAAATATACGTGTAATACACAAAAAATATTATTAGGCTATTAAGATCCAAGCTCGGACCGTAAACGGCTTATTTAATATTGATTGATTGTATAACGGTCATAAAACGGGGGGTCTTATTTCTCTTATATTATTAAAAATATTATAACTTTTTTTTTAATTTTGTTAGTATTTTATTAAAAGAAAAAAACTAATAAACGTGTTTTGAATAGGCCTCGTGGCCTCCACGCAGTTGATCGAGCGGCTGCTTCCTCAGAATCGGGCGTGGTCGATAAAGAAAGGGATTTACTTCTCTGCGTTGAATATTAATTATAAAGTCACTCGGATGGTACAATAAAAGCACGGTCTATCGCTCGACTTAACGGCACGTGCGATTCGTACGACGATCACGATGATTCTCTACGGTAGTAGTGGCGGCAGTGGTGGGAGACGCCGCTGCGAGCACGGCCGTAACTAGGCGGAATACTACGAGAGCGCCCGCGAATAGCAGGCACGACAACGCGGGGTAATCGTGGATCGGTAAAGCAGGAGCGGACCCGGTTACACATCATACATCGCCGCCCCCCTTGAAAGGACGTACTTTCAAAACAAAAGAACAAAACGTAAAAAGTAGTCTCTTACATCAGAATGGTTACATGACACTCCTTCGAATTGGAGTCGCATATAGTACAAAGATTAGTATAACTAAGTTTGGAATCTAAGATGACTAGGTCAAACATAAAATAAAATAGCATTCGCACTTATGATTAAATAGACGCTTGTGATATAGGAGTGGCAACCAAAGGGCTTCGCAAAAATCTTAACGCTAATTATGACTGAACGCGAAGTTTGACGTCCACGCGAGACGAGTATACTTAAGTGTCTATGGGTAACACCGCGAGCTTAGAAAGAGGTCTTGTGAAGTCACCTTTCGCTGTTCGGACGGTGGCAACCCTCGTGACGCCGTCGGCTCCGGTGTGAACATTCTGAACTCGCCCCAACAGCCACTGCAAAGGAGCTAGGCCTTGCTGTTTTATGAGCACTAATTGCTCGGGTTTTAACTGTACGCCCTTGTTGGCCTTCCATTTGGTTCGTTCTTGCAAAGAATTAAGGTACTCAGTGCTCCATCTATGCCAAAAATGTTGTCTTATTTGCTCTACTCTTTGCCAGCGCGTAAGCCGATTTTTGTTAATGTCTTGTAAGTCGTGACAAGGGAAACTATTCAAGGCTGTACCGACAAGAAAATGACCGGGACTGAGATACGCGAGATCATTTGGATCGGCGCTCAGTTGCGTGAGTGGTCGCGAGTTCAGGATTGCTTCCACTTCGCAGAGTACCGTCTGCATTTCTTCGAATGTTAAATGCGCTTGGCCTATAATTCGAGTCATGTGATACTTGGCCGACTTTACTGCGGCTTCCCATAGACCGCCGAAGTGCGGCGCGTTAGGCGGGATAAAGGACCAAGAAGTTTCCTGCTCGCGAACAAACTGGTTTATATCGTCTCGAACCTGATTATCGTTAATTAAGTCGTAGAACTCTTTGATCTGCTTATGCGCCCCTACAAACGTGGTCCCATTGTCGGAATATATGCAAGCGGGTTTGCCTCTTCGGGACATGAAACGCCGGAGTGCGCTAAAGAAGCTTTCCGATGTGAGATCACTTACTAATTCGATATGTACGGCTTTCGTGGAGAAACACACAAAGATAGCGATGTACGCCTTGTGAAAGCGGGCATTACGTCGCTTGCCCTCCTTTACCATGACGGGTCCGGCATAATCGACACCACAATGCGAGAATGGCCTTGAAACGGTAACGCGAGTAGAAGGCAACGAGCCCATTATAGCTTCTGATTGGCTCGGTTTAGCTCTGAAGCATGTTACGCAGTTTCGGATAATTTTTCGCGCGGTTGAGCGCAGCGACAAAGGCCAGAATCTCTGCCTGACTGCGGCCATAGTTGCCTGAGTGCCAGCATGCATGTTACGCACGTGTTCTCGTCTTATCGTACGTTTTGTGAGCTCATGATCGCGAGGTAGTAATATGGGGTGGCACGCGTCGAATTTTAACTCAGAATTCTTTAATCTACCCCCCACCCGGATTAGCCCGGTTTCGTCTATGAAGGGAGACAGGGAAAGTATCTTGCTGGACGCGCTAACCGAGTCCCCTTTGGTCAGCGCTCTGTACTTGTCGGGAAATGAGCTTCTTTGCACTGCTTTGCACACAACGCCCAACGCGTGCGACATCTTGTTGTGAGAAACGGATTCGGTGGCCGGAGTCGGCCAATGCGCCTTGTTGAACCTGAGACAATACGCTATGATGCGGCATATCTTGCCCAAGTTTGAATGCTTTTTGATTAATCCGTCGACGATCGAAGGACTGATGATGACGACGGCTGCCGCTACTTCTCGTGTTTCGGGAAAATCATCTCCTAGGCGAGTGATGTCCTTACTTGGCCAGCGGTCTTCTTCGTATTGCAGAAAGGTAGGTCCATGCCACCATAAACTTGCTTCCACGAGTTCGTGCGGATGTAGTCCGCGTGATAGTATGTCGGTGGGATTGTCTGTGGACGGAACGTGCCTCCAATCTTCTATCTTGGTTTAACGTTGTATCTTACCAACTCGGTTGGCAACGAATATCTCCCACCTCCGGGAAAGCGAAGTTATCCAGTATAGTGTGATGGTAGCGTCAGACCAGAAAAACTTCTTGAATTGCGTCGATCGATGTGCTGACCTTGTCCATCAATTCGGCCAATAACAATGCCGCTTGTAGCTCCAGCCTTGCCAGCGATATGACCTTGAGCGGGGCCACGCGGGATTTCGAGCAAAGCAACTCGGTGCGGTAGCTGGTGCCGAGTTTTGTCCGAAGGTATATACAGGCTCCGTATGCTTTTTGGCTGGCATCGCAGAATCCATGTATTTGTATTAGCTGGGGATCCGTGGCAAGCTTGACGCACCGCGGAACTCGTACTTGTTTCAAGACCGACAATTGTTCCTTCAGTCTTGACCAACGCGCGTGGATGTCTTGTGGCACTGACTCGTCCCAATGGCTACCTGACTTCCACAGGTCTTACAGGATGAGTTTCGCGACCACGATGACAGGTCCGAGAAGACCGAGGGGGTCGAATAACCTGGCAACGCCGGATAATATTGTGCGTTTGGAGACAGTACTGTGGCTCTCCTGAGTGTCGTGAGAAACTTGAAATGTGTCTCTGATGTGATCTCATTGCATTCCGAGAATGCGTGAGTTTGCATCGCTGCAAATTTCTACTGGCTCGTGGTTCTGATCCTGGACGTCCTTTAATAATTCCGGGCAATTGGATGCCCAGTTGCTTAATTTGAACGCTCCTAATCGTAGTATTTCCACCACTTGATGGCGAACTATTTCTAGATCCTTCTTTGTGTTGGCCCCGGTCGCGACGTCGTCCACGTAACAACCTTCCTTGAGGTGGATCGATCCCACCGGGAATCTCAATGCGTTTTTCTCGGCTAGATCGTTCAGGCATTCCGTGGCTAGATATGCGGCAGCTGCGGTGCCGTAGGTGACCACCAGGGATTCGTATGCCTTGACGTCGTGATTGGGCTTGCTCCGCCACAATATTCGTTGAAGATGTGTCTGCGATGGGTCGACCAGAATCTGCCGATACATCTTAATTATATCGGCCACGAAGACGTATAGAAAGAAGCGGAAGCGAATCAGGAGGGAAATCAACTCTGGCTGGACGACTGGTCCCACTCTGAGCGCGTCGTTTAGAGACACTCCAGTAGTAGTTTTGCAGGATGCATCGAATACCACACGTATTTTGAGTGACTGCCCAGCCATTTTAACTACACTGTGGTGAGGCAGGTAGACGGCCGGCGGGTCATCATCAGGTTGCTCGTCTACCAATTTCATGTGGCCGAGTGCGATGTACTCCTGCATAAAGCGCACGTAGTGCTCCTGTAGGTTGGGATCACGCTTGAAACGCCTCTCCATGGCTAGCAGTCGCTTCATCGCGATGTCCCTGGACTGTCCGATTTTGGCCATTACGTGCTCCTTCACCGGAAGCTTCACAACGTATCTACCGGACTGATT